ACTAATAAATTAAAAAAAGAGTGTATCAGTTTGGTTATTAACAAGCATAATATGATCTACGATTAACTTCCTCGGCCCAATCACGAACATGTTCAGAAACATCATGACAATAGATAAAATTAACTTGACGTAATTGTTTGAGATGACAGTAAGGCACAGTCATAAGCGGCTGCATAACTCTCAACGTCAAAAAATCACAATTACGAAAAGTGAGAACCTCAAGATTATCAAACATCAAGAGAGAATTCAACGGGGCGGAATCTTTGAAATTTGTGTCGACAAATTCGATATCGAGTAATGTTGATACGCTAAGTTTTAAATTTCTGACTATTGCATTGAGATCGCCGCCACAGCTTCGTCCAATGAATTGGTTTAGACTGTGAAATTGTCGCATCGTTGCGCCGATTGTTGCAAGCTTACGTTTTTGTGTAAAGTTTTGCATTCCTTTCATATCGAGATCGAGGCATTCCTTAGGTAGAAAAGCATATAGTAATAAGTAAGTATTAGCGGGAATGATTGAATTCAATAAAAACCTACCAAATGATTTGATAAAGTGGCAATAGTATATTGCTTTTGAGCATCTCGATCCATGTTACGATCGTTCCAAACCATATGACAAGATTTCACTGACGAGATCCACATTTCGAGTTCGGGATTCTGTTGAAACAATGCCAAAAATTCAGGACGAGTAGTGAATCTGAAAGGTCCCGACAAACGTTCAATAGTCGCTCCATTTCGTCGCATCAATTTCAAAATAACCGTGACAATAGCTGACTCACGATATGGCAATCTGTTTCGAGCGCACCACGCTTTCGCGACACAAATCATAGCTCCCACGTCGATATGTTTAGCGAAAAATGGGTAATCGTACATCGTATTCGGGGTATACATGTTCATCTTTGGTATGCCTTGATTATATCTATTAAGTTTATGATTATTATTATTTAATTTACTTTTATGATTATGACCACCACCGCCAGTTCCCCCACCTCCATTTAAGAATTTTTTAAAGAATGTGTTTGAAGTTTTATTATGATAATGATTTCGATGATAATGATTATTTTGCACAATTAATTTTCGCTCGTGATAATTCAGGAATTGAAAATATGTGTCGAGAATTTTATCGTGTTGTTTTGTTATCGAAGTGCTTTGTCTGAAGGGATCACTCCATAATAATGGGATCACGGCTTCGCACCATTGCCAGTTCACCAAAAGACATGAGTATAAATCACCCGTTGAATAGTCATTAGTCTCATTACTAGGATTATTGTAAGGGGTGCTTTCTACCAGTAGAAAGTTTCGAAATATTTTTTCTAGAATTTCGATTGGCAATTTGGACGCCATTATTATCTTTAAGGAGTGGGACGGTAAAGAGCGAAAATATTGGAAAAATAAAAATTATCACACTATTAATAAATTAAATAAATAAAGTAAAAATACTTTCGGACAAAAAATCAGAGATTTTTATTCGAAAATGATAGAAACTTTTTAGGTTTATAATGTAAATCAATACATGACCCGATAGGATTATGCAATATGAGAAAAAGTCGTGTAAAGTATCGCAAAGTTTGTAAATCAACAAAATAGGAATTTCCGCTTGTAACATTTTTCCGGAGGTAGAATTCAGCATCATTCACACTCGCGTGATTGGTGTCGACATTGGCATTGCGAAGAAAAAAAAGCGTGATGAAGGTAATCAAATATATATATATTATCGTTACGTATTGTTCTGCTGCATGAACCAATGAAAGGGAACGTACTCCTTAACCAAGATACATGTACATGTTCGGAAAGATTAACGTAGCATTAACGTAATTCGTTCCCAAGTCTGTTATAAAATTTAATTAGTAAAAAATGAGGTGAAAATATGTTATGAAGGGAATAGGAATTGCAGTATTTAAAAGCATAAACAAGTAATATCAATTGTATCGCAACTCTTTTACAAAGACCTCATTAAAAGAAGTTTGAGTAAAGATAAGTAATAAAAAAGGTTATGTAATAAAAAGGTAACATAATAAGAATACTCGTATTTTATATGACATCCTATTCCATGTTTCATTGAAGCGGAATTTTAGGTCAATCTGGGCTAAATTCAATAAATACAAACATTCATGTAGTAAACTAAAAAAAGGTAATCAGCCTTTCGAGTGCAAAAAAATTTCTCATATTGTTATTATCTTGTCTATCTAGGCCCTTATCTTTGTCTATTCAGTCCTTATTCTATGTATCTTCGAAAAAGCATGGCATTCTTTTTGTTTCAATTCGTGAAAATGCAAGGGTTTTTTAATATAATTTTCATGCAGCAAAAAAGAATACATACGTAATGGGCATTTCTTTAAAGTCAAGATATTGGTATTGTATACTCACCTCCACGAATGAATTTTGAGATAAAGTGGTCCTGCATGTATTCAAATGCGAATTCGATTAATTTTAATAACGACTTAAATACAAGTTACCGACAAATCTATAATAATGCATTAAATAGAAACAATGAACGCTGCCCTTAAAGAATTAGATAAGCTGCCATAACGATAAGTTTTCAAAAACAAATAATATAAGAATTTCTCTGATGTCATTGGCATGTGGCAAGTCAAAAAACGTATTACATATTGTTTAATTGGCTATCCTTCTTTACAAAAGCAAATTACCGTATTATTCCAAATTCAAGCACCACCCCCAATACCATCAGAATTAGGTTCAAAGAAGTGCTTATAATCGGAAAAATAAGGTGCACAAAAACCAAAAAAAAAAAAATAAATTTATTTCTTTTCGCATCAAAAGAATTTCACGTTATAATGATCACATTATCATACCAAAAAAAAGGAATTTTCCGATTTCCCCACAAGTTTATTTTAGGATGAGTGAAAGAAGAATCATGTTTCGATCGATATGGCATCAACAAACAATTGATGGGAAAATATTAAGAGTAGATATATAATAAGAAAAATGCACATCTGTCAGCTAAACTTAAACCTTATACAAGAACAATCGGGATGCCATTTCAAGGTTCATGCATTTACACGCTTCTCTAACAATAGGCTGCAGATCTGCGCAGTGTCATTTAATCAAAATATATCGACATGTGTGGAGACTTTTTGAGGTATTAAAATTTTCAAATCTATTTTTTGCAAAATATTATAAAAAACACAAGTATTTATCAGAAGAAAAACTGTAAACACGGACCGAAAATTGCTACGAAACGCATCAAATTAACCATATTTATCGATATCGATATCTTTCATCATCCTGTCAATCGTGACAGCGAATTCGCTATAAATCTTTATGTATTCGTGTTTGCCCCTTATTTTTCTGCAAAGACTTCCTTGATTATATTTAAGGCATTCACATTTTGACGATCTCGTCATAATGCAAAATTTCATAATTCATTACATCACGTTTCATAATGCAAAATTGCATAATTCATAACTCAAAGAAATTTTCATGCCTAGAGGAAGACTTGAGAGCCGATGATGAGTCTCTAATTACGGTTCAAGGATCATTCGTGATGAAATCGAATGTCACCGGGTAATGACAAGAAACTCATCGCATACAAAACAATCGAAATTACATGTCAAATATTTCTTATATCCATTTACAAAATATTTGGCACTTTGAATGTTTTTTTCTTTTCGCTTCTTTTTTATCGATCTCGCATACAAAAAGTGACCGGCCACTTTTTTGCATTTTTTAATATCAATTTTACGCACACTGCAATGACCAACAAACATAATTCGTTTTTCTAAAAATAA